TCAACCTCACCCCCAACGCGGTCTTGGCTTAATTAGACATTTGCAGCAAAGAGCATTCTAGAACCCAAACAGAAAAAATGTGTTTTGCCATGTTTGTGAAAGGGTGAAAGTGCTTAGTCAGCATAAATAGCCCCAGGATGGGGAGGGCAGATGAATAGCATGACAGCACTGACCATCATCTCCCCATCCATCAGAGAAACTAGACCCCCAAAGCCACCTAGCAGAGACAAGGACAGATCCAAGATACTCACCTCCTAAATCACGTGGGGGGTGAAGAGTGCATAATGATGTCAGAATCCCCAGGGCATGTGAAATTTCTAGAACTGGAGAGATTAGTGCTCTGTCCTGCTCCGTTCCTGGTTCCCAAATCGCAATGCTTTACTTCTGGCTTACACAAAACCATCTTGCTCCAAAGCACTTTCCTTAGAAGCCTGCAGAACACCGCTAAGGAACAATTACATTTTATTAATTTTTATTATCATTTTTTTTTTGTAGGTCCAGCAACCACTTACTCTCATCTAGGATCAAAATCTGATCCCCCTAGGCCAGGTGTGGTGGCTCATGCCTGTAATTCTAGCACTCTGGAAGGCAGAGATGGGTGGATTGCTCGAGCTTACCAGTTCAAGACCAGCCTAAGCAAGAGGGAGGCCCTGTCTCTAAAAATAGCCAAGTGTTATGGCGGGCACCTGTAGTTCCAGCTACTCAGGAGGCTGAGGCAAGAGGATCATTTGAGCCCAAGAGTTTGAGGTTGCTGTGAGCTATGATGCCACCATACTCTACAGGGGTGACAAAGTGAGACTCTGTCTCAAAACAAACAAACAAACACACAGAAAAAAAACTGTCTCAAAAATATAATCCTCCTGTATCTACACCAGCAGTTCTCAACCTGTGGGTCACGACCCATAGGAACTGTATTAAAAGGCTGCAGCATTAAGAAGGTTGAGAACCACTGACCTAGACCAAAAAAAAAAAAAAAAAAGACACTCTAACAGAATCTGTGATTCTCTGATTTAATCAAATCAGCCAGATTTAGCAAAATTAACCTGGTAATTAATGTGGAAAGTAAAGCCCTTGCCAATTGTCTTTTTATTTCTTTTCTTTTCTTTTTTTTTTTTTTTTTTGCAGTTTTTGGCCAGGGCCAGGCTTGAACCTGCC